GAAAGGACCCAACTTACTAATTTTATAAATATCTTCAAGATATAATACATACTTAAAAGTTACATTAATGTTAAATGGGCATTAAAAACAAAGTAGCTAACCTAAACTGCTTCAAGACAAGTAGAAAAGAAAAAAAGTAAATATTCAGTGATTCTGTGCTTTCCTTAAAGCCTTGATTTAAATTCTAGGCCTTGGGTCAATGCTTCTGACACCAGCCAAAATCAGCTTAGTTATCTCAAAACAGCTGTCAAGAGGCCTTCCCTACCAATACCTGGCATTCAACATATTGGTATGTTGAAAAGTAAAATGCTTGTTAATCTTCACATTAAACACAAGAATGATCCACACAATAATGATTAAACACAAGAATGATCCACACTTCCACACAATAATTTAAGTAATAATGAAAACTTACAAGAAAAATGTATTATCTTCAATATTTAAAGCAGGTATGACTAGTATATATTTCCAGAGCACAATGTCTTAGAAAAAAAAAATGAAAACAGTGTTTAAAGTTGAATATCTTGGGAGCACTTTAAGTCACAAGATTCTGTGAGCATTTCCTCAGGATCTGTAGGCCTTCCTTACATATTTTTTAAAAACTCAATAAAATATGTTCACTAAAATTGTGTATGTATTTAGTATTATTTTTACTCATTGGGAAGAAAGCAAAAAGAAACAGAAAGAGAGGGAAAAAAGAAGGAAGGAGGAAGGAAGGGAGGGAAGGAAATGAACTCGAAAGGTAAGAGGGAAGAAAGGACAGGAGAAGACAGAGAAAGGAAAAGAGAGATTAAGCAAAGAGGAGGGTTAGGGTAGATGGGGCAGAGGAGGGAAAAATGAAATGGAGAAGGAAAAAAACTGAAAGGAAATGTATATGGTGTTATCTGGTCCTTCACTAAGTTAAAGGCAGATAAAGGGGGAAAGGTTAAGAAAGAATATACATTATTAAACTAATCAAAGAATGATACTAGTTTCTGCTTTTGGAGAAACCAAGATATATAAACAAAATAATTTATTATATTCACCACATTGAAACAATTACAAAACCATAAGAAGAAAATGAGTCTGTGAGTGCAGAAGGGATGCAGTGAGGGATACAGGAGTGAACCATTAGATCACAGAAACGGTGAAGCAAACCATTCTGCTATTGTTGGAGCCCTGAGGATAGCATCCACATTCTGTCACAGAAGACAGTTGGACTTCAGGATTTCTAGGAAAAGTAGAGAACACTCTTCATGTTACCTGGGAAATTAGTGCAAAGCAGAGTCCAACACAGTCAATATGGCAACAGATTTCATTTCCCAAATACCAGCATGGGTACTGTGGTTCACTAATTACCACAAAATACTGGGTTTTTCATAGTAATTATTTAACTCAAACAACTAGTCTTTATTATGAGACTGAGACCTTCTTGAGTTTTGGTTTAATGACAGTAACAATAAGATATTTTAATTTGTTTGTTTCCAAGGAGGAGAAATGTGGATGATATTCTGGGGCTTTTATGTACCTTTAAACTTCCTTACTTGGTGAGATTAAAAAGTTGGCAACCCTTTGTGCATCTCCATATTATTTTTAAGTTTTATGGATCCTAAAAACCCATGTCCTGGAGCTATGAATATAGAACACCAACCCACGTTCTCAGAGGCTGGGAGGACAATAACTTAGAAATCTGGAGGACTATTACAAAAGCTATGAATTTAGAGGGATAAATAAATAAAGAAATTCAGGCAACTGATATAATTCCCCAATAATCTGGTAGGCTGGCCTTTTAAACTAAAACCTGTGCTGTAAATTGAGGCATAAAAGCAGGCAAGAAGTGGACTTGGCAGGGAGACAAGACTATTTTCAAGGTTGCCTCTTGTGACTCTGCAAAGCATATGATTCTCTTTCAGCTACCTTATGTTTATTATTATAAAAATAATTTTAAAATTACAGGATTGCAAAATCTAAGAACATAATGCTGAAGTCATTAACTATTCCTCAAGTCATTAATACTGACCTTTGAAATTAAATGTTCCCTTTTGTTCCTTTTCCTCTTGAAAGAAACAAGAATAACTTCCCATTTGTTTGCTATTAATGATGGTGAACCTAAAGATAATTGAAGTTATTAGTATAGGCTTAGTTCTCAAACCTTCTTAATGAAAATAAAAAGATTTAACCATTAATGAAAATTTAAAAATAGAAATAATTCTGTAAATATGCAAACATTAGCATAACATTCAAGTGGATGCAAAGGAAAGAATGCTGCATCAGCAAAAATATTTAGAATTAAGCTACTTTTGATGAGAAAGGTAGGTTAAAATTTGTATACTCACCTGTACTGGGTATATAGGGTGGTTCCTGTTGCATTGACAAGATAATTATTCTCAAGTAGCTCACCGTCTTTTTTCCAAGTCACATTTACTGCATTCAGATCCCCAGATGTTGTGAACTGGCATGTGAGTTTTATGTTAGAAGGCCTTTCTAAAGTGATATTTTTTTCTACTGGCATACTAGAATGTTCTATAGGCACAAAAGAAGACAAAATATTAAAGTTACATTTGGAGGAATCTAATATACAAAATCTTTACTAACAGTAGTGCTTTATTCACAGTTTCTTAATGTAACATTCATGTGAAGAATTATTCCTCTATCAACATAGGTGGTTCCCTTTCTTACTCCCTTTCATATGCACACCTAAAGAAAAGTTTTCATCCAACATTAACACAGTCAAAAAAAACCCTAAGACTGTGATATTTATCTCCTTAAGCTCTGTAGTGAGCAGGATATAGGGTAGAGAGTACCCTAAAACATGAGCCCTATGCTCTGACAGTGTAAAAACAGCACAACTGTAAACACAAACACACATTCAAGGGTGACAGTGGAGTGCCTGTTTTAACACTTTTGAGTAATCATGTTGTTGGTAGTTATTACAAGAATGTTTTGTGTGTAACATGGATTAGAGTGATATATTATATTCTAACCATTCCTAGTCTTAGGAACCTGGCCGGGCTCCATGGCTCATGCCTGCAATCCCAGCACTTTGGGAGATTAAGGTGAGTGGATCACAAGAAGGAGTTCAAGATGAGCCTGGCCAAGATGATGAAACCCAGTCTGTACTAAAACTACAAAAAAAAAAAAAAAAAAAAAAAAATAGCCAGGCGTGGTGGCAGGCACCTGTAATTCCAGCTACTTGGGAGGCTGAGGCAGAGAACGGCTTGGACCCAGGAGGCAGAGGTTGCAGTGAGCCAAGATCACACCATTGCACTCCAGCCTGGCCAACAGAGCAAGACTCTGTCTCAAAAAAAAAAAAAAAAAAAAAAAAAAGGACCTGTAGGGACTGGATATAGACATAAGTATGGAACAGAGAATTTAAATAAGCATCCTGTAGTTCTGAATTTTAACTAAATTTCAAATATCAGTATGAATTCATGAGGTGCTTATCTTAAAAGGAAAACAACACACACACACAAACACACAAACACACACACACACACACATTGAAGGGTCCAAAATATGCCAGGATAGCATACAAATTATTTTTGAGCACAAGGCATTTGAGTTCCTGAAATCTATTCTCTGACCAAAAGCAGAGCTTTTCAAAGGAACTCCAAAAAACCTCCACTGCCATAAATCCCTCCCTAGGAGTAACAAGGAAGATGAACTCTTATCACTGAAAATGATGTCTTCACACCACACCTAAACAGACACTGTCACAAAACTATCACATCTTCCACCTGTTATCTAAATTGCTCATTTATCTTTCCAAAAACTCATTCATTTTTCCATAAGCAATCCCTCTCTTTACCCAACTAAGATGGCATATAAGCCCCCAAATTTAACTGCCCCTTTGGGCTACATTTTTCTAACTTCCATCTGTACGTAATTAAATATGCTTTTTGTTTTGCTAATCCATCTTTTGTCAGTTTAATTCACTGTGCCTGAAATTGTAAAGAAAAAGATGGAATGGTTAGGACTCCCCACACTTCCACTCCAACCCCAATTCCAAAGCCTGATTATTTCAGGACCTCTGACCCAGTAGGCAAGTATAAGCTTTTTTAAAAAAAAAAACCAGTATCCCAGATTTCTGCTGAGGGTCCACTAGAGCAAGAGCAGTAAAGCCTCTATTTGTCTTTTCTTTCTTCAGTTTAAATCTCAGGTTCCCAACCACTGACTTTCCAAACAATACACGTTCTCTCTCTCTCTATCTCTATCTCTATCTCTATCTCTCTCTCTCTCTCGGAAAACATATAAAGCTAACTTTAATTTTCAACAGTAGTAAATAAAGAAAAAATATTAAGCATGTACCTTGTTTGTCCTACACTAACTGTACCTGACTAACCAAACAGAAGAGAAAGTAAACTTTCTCTTTATAGAAAAATTCTAGCAAATAAATAAAAAAAGAAATCATATAAATATAGCACAATGATGCTGCAACCCCTAATGAATCATGGATCTAGGCATTTTCCATCAACTGCTGCAATAATTTCAAAAACAGAATTATGTCTCTCTTGATGAAGACTACCCCATTACCTAGGCTATAATCTTGTCACAAAAGATGTTGGAGGAGGTTCCTGAAATAGATTATGTCTCTGGATCCAATTTCCAGTTTACAGGAAATAGGGATTATGAAAGAACACATTAAACTACACTTCATGAAAGTAATCAACAAAATCCAGATTGTAGGAAAATTACAAAATCAATGATCTGGGCAGGGCAGGGTGGCTCACGCCTGTAATCCCAGTACTTTGAGAGGCTGAGGCAGGCAGATCACCTGAGGTCAGGAGTTCAAGACCAGCCTGACCAACATGAAGAAACCCATCTCTACTAAAAATACAAAATTAGCCAGGCGTGGTGGCGCATGCCTGTAATCACAGCTACTTGAGAGGCTGAGGCAGGAGAATTACTTGAATCCTGTAGGTGGAGGCTGCAGTGGGCCAACATGGCATCATTGCACTCCAGCCTGGGCAACAAGAGCAAAACTCCTTCTCAAAAAAACAAAACAAAACAACAAAAAAAATAAACGAGGGGATGTAGCAGTGAGGAAAATAGTGGACAGGAAGGCAGGAAAGGAGAGTCCTGAAAAGTTACAGCGAGCTGTAGCTGCCAGAGGACCTGAAGAAGAAGCAGCAAAACCTGTGAATACTAAGACTGTTTCTTCCAGTAATGAAGGGGAAAGTTCCAGTCATAGCACTGAGACACAGTCAGCTGAAGAAGCTGCAGACCTCCCAACAAAGCCTACCAAGATCTCCAAGTATGGATTTCCCATAGGTAGTTACACAACAAAGAAAGCATCAGACATGTCATCAAACTTGGATCAAGCAAGCCTTAAACTCTTCCAACTCCTGCTCCAAAAACTTTCAGTAGCAGCAGCTTTTAATGAAGATGAAGATAGTGAACCAGAGGAAATGCCTCCAGAAGCAAAGATGAAGATGAAGAATATAGGAAGGGATACACCAACATCAGCTGGACCAAACTCCTTCAACAAAGGAAAGCAGGGGTTTTCTGATAACCAGCAGCTATGGAAGCAAAATATAAAATCTCATCTTGGAAATGTCCATGACCAAGACAATTAAATGATGTTTTGAAATTGGGGTGTGGGGTAGGTGTAAAGTTAAAAGGAACCTTTTAACTTTTTTAAAGAATGGTATAAGACTATCTTTGGAGCTGCTTTTTTTTTCTTTTTCATTTTTTTTAAAAGATGAGTGGTACACTAATAAATGAGAGTTTCAAATTAGAGTAATTTATGCTTTATATACAGATTTTAAGACATTTGCTAATTTTGTTGTTTCATGTGATTAGTTTCCAAAGGTTACAGATAATAAAGAAATCAGAAATGGTACCTTTTTGAGAATTGCATGTTTTTTTAAACACAACCATTAGCCCAATAAGCAGAAAGTATTGCCAGGCTGGGCACAGTGGCTCACTCCTGTAGTCCCAGAAGCAAAGACAAAGATGAAGAATATTGGAAGGGATAAACCAACATCAGCTCCCACTTTGCAAGGCTGAGGCAGGCAAAGTGAAACCCTGTCTCTACTAAAAATACCAAAAAAGTAGCTGGGTGTGGTGGTGCGTGCCTGTAGTCCCAGCTACTTGGGAGGCTGAGGCAGGAGAATTGCTTGAATTTGGGAGGCATAGGTTGAAGTGAGCCGAGATTGTGCCAGTTCACTCCAACCTGGCAACAGAGCAAGACTCTATCTCAAAAAACAAAAACAAACAAACCAAAAAGCTATCAATTTAAAACTGCAAAGCAGTACTCTCTTAACTCCCTTATTACCTAAACTTGTCGAGCTTCTAGGAACAGCCTTACAGAGCGATGGAGTATTGTATTGGGAGGAAGATGCTACTGAACTCCTGACTGAAAGTAAATTTAGATAAAATTAAAATTCCTTATGGGCATTGGTTTTGTTTCAAGTCTTCGTAAACTAGGTGTTGCATTGCTATCAGCAGATACATATGCTTAGCTCTCCTGCCTCAGCCTCCTGAGTAGCTGGGATTACAGGCACACGCCACCATGCCCAGCTAATTTTTTGTATTTTTTAGTAGAGACGGGGTTTCACCATGTTGACCAGGATGGTCTTGATCTCTTGACCTCGTGATCCACCCGCCTCGGCCTCCCAAAGTGCTGGGATTACAGGCGTGAGCCACCGCGCCCGGCCATATGCTTAGCTCTTAAAAAGATTTTTTTTTATGTAAACTGTTGAATATTTGAAATAGCCCACTTCGCCTTAATGGGTCTTGTCTATCTTCATTACTCTTCAAAGAAAAGCCATTTGCTACCAAAGAAAATCAGTATTTTGAATGTGCTTCTCTTGTTTTTTATTAGCTAATTCCTGTAAGAATTTCCACCAGAACTTGAGGCAAATCATAAGGAAGCTGTTTCTTTTAAAATACAAACCACCACCAAAAATTTAAATGTATATATTGTTTATATATTTGGCTATTTTTATTTTTTAAAAGGCATAAATACAAAAAAATTTTTAACTTCGTATGAAGGTGGAAAACAAAAAAACGCACTTTCTGTAACTTTGTCTAAGGATGTAAATTACTAACTTGTGAAACACAATTTGAATTGAACTTAACTATCAGCTTTCTTACCAGAAAAATTATATGGTTTATTTTAAATGTATACATATTGACCAATGGCTTTGTGAAAAGCACATTTTAGATACTGAAATAGAAGGAAAGAAAATGCATCTTTAAACATTTTTTGGAATCTCACCACATATACTTTGTTAGATTTGTGTATTGTAGGGTGTTTGTTTTTGTATTTTTGTATTACATATAAACTTTTTTTTAATGTGACAGTTAAACACACCTTTAAAAGCACAGTCACAGACAAAAGAAACATACAGTATAAAAATCTCCACAAAATTTCCTATGGTATTATATTTGGAGGCAGCTTCAGACTGTTTTATTGGTGGTAACTGCCCTCTGAGCTCTTTTAGACGGTAATAACTCCAGACACACAGCCTGTGTAAATTCCTAACCCTTAGTTCACTAGCATTTAAGTTCAGAATAAGCGCCATGTAAAACAATAGAAATTTATGTAGAACTCTTAGTTCTTGCATGATTTAATTATATCAGGATACATGAATTTCACCTTTAATGTAGGCAAACTATCCATTTTTATTTATTTTCTTGTTTGTTAAAATAACATACCTCTCCTACATTTTCTTTTCTTGACCCAAATGAAATATTAATCTAAGGTCAAGCTGGGAGAGAGAAATGACTGAGATGTCTTTACTAAAATACCAATAAAGTTGTCAAACTAAAAAAAAAAAGAAAAAAAAGAATGATCTGTTACTTTCTATTCTTCCTTTCTCTTTTTTAATAAAATTTCACTAAATTTGCCAAACTCAAAAAAAAAGATTCATTCCATCCTTTCCCCCTCTCCCTCCCTCCCTCCCACCTCCCTCCCTTTCTCCCTACTTTCCTTCTTTCCTTTCTTCTCCTTTCTCTTTCCATCTTTCTCTTTCTCGTTTTTCAGAGGGAGTTTCTTTCCTCAGCCTCCCAAGTAGCTGGAATTCTAGGTGCCCGCCACCATGCCTGGCTAATTTTTTTGTATTTTTAGTAGAGACGGGCTTTCACCATGTTGGCAGCCTGGTCTCGAATTCCTGACCACAGGTGATCTACCTGCCTTGGCCTCCAAAAGTACTGAGATCACAGGCATGAGCCACCGTACCTGGTCTGGTTTTTTCAATAGATAAATTTTAAAAGGGAGAGAGATGTCTTTGTATTGAACGTCAGGTGCTATGTTTGGGGCACCTGAAGATCGTAAGATGCTTAAAAGAAAACAAGCCATTAAAAGAAAAGCAAAACTGAACTGTAATATTTAGAGACACATACCTGGGTGATAAAACAATATAAAAAAGCAAGAAAGTGACTGCATAAAAATGAGAATAGTGGTAATTACTCTTAAGGGGAAGAGAAGGAGCTGTGTTTAGAAAATGGCAGTGCATCATGCAGTTTTCTCAAGCTCTTCTCATTCTCAATAATGCTGTAGTATGATTAAATGTAGAATGTAGAGTCAAAATGTAGAAAGAAAAATAATGTAATTCAAAATGGCGAGGTGCAGTGGTTCATGCCTATAATCCCAGCAATCTGGGAGGTTGAGGTGGGTGAGACTGCTTGAGCACAGGAGTTCAAAACCAGTCTGAGCAACATGGTGAGAACTCATCTCTATAAAACAAATGAAAAAATTATCCAGGCTTGGTAGTGCATGCCTGTGGTCCTAGCTAGTTGTAGGCAGAGGTGGGAGGATCTCTTGAGCCCAAGAGTTGAGGCTGCAGTGTGTTAAGGTGACTCCACTGCACTCCAGGCTGGGTGATGAAGCAGGACCCTGTCTCAAAAAAAAAAAAAAAAAAATCTATTACTTTTAATTACATAAGAAACTTGATGAAATGCTTCCTGAAGCAAGGACCAGGTACAAGGTTTACAGATAGTGAAGTACAGCTCAAGCAAAGTGCTTTGTGAGCACATGCTTGAAATAACTACTTGTGTAATTGCAAAATTGCTGAATTGAATTTTATGCTCAAAAAGAAAAACAACATTTGGTGTCTCTAGAATATACTATATTGCCAGAGACTACCTATTCCTTGCAATTCCCTTTACTGTGCTCTATTTCACTATCCTAGTACATTTTAAACATTTTGCTAGCCACACCAAATTATTCCAATTACCTTTTAAATGTTGGTGGCCATCAGGATTTTGCTCTCTGGTCTCTACTGCTTATTCGGCACTCCTTTGGTGGATTCAACTATTAATTCTAGTGCTCTTTACTTGCAAAATCAGAACCTCCACTGAAGTCTTTTTTGTTACAGCTCCAGGTGTCTACGGAGCATCTAAATATGGCTATCTCATGGGAACTTCAGACTCAAAATATCCAAGAGAGATCCATTAGTATTCCCATATCACTGAATCACATGCAGTAGTATTCAGTTGATTCTGTCACTAAAATGTCCATCAAATTTGACCAGTTTTATCCAACCCTCCTATTATTGACGTTCATTATCTTTCACCAAGACCAGGCAAATTACCTAATTTCTCTTGGCCAGCTTCTCTTGCTCCAACCAAAGCTGCCCTTCTAAAAGCAAAACTCAAATTGTTTAACTGTCTTGATTCTATACCTTGCATTAGCAAATCAAAGTATCTTTGTATGGGACATCAGTTTCCTTATTTGTAAGGTGGGACAATACATATTTCAGGAGATTGTAGAAAGTTCTATCATAAGAAAAGCAATAGTAGTATAATATAGCAATTAATGAATGCCCACTTCTTCTCACCATTATCTCACTGGGGAATATTATAAAAACAATCATATATGATGCTAAATCATTTATATGTCGATTAAATCATTTATTTTTCATAAGAGCTTTATGAGGTAGGTATCATTGTTATAATTCTGACTTTAGAGATGAAGCAAAGAGAGGCTTACTATCTTGTCTAAGATCACACATCAAGACAACTGAATCTCAGATTTAGGTATGCCTGAGTCCAGACTGTGATAACCAACAGAATATGCCAACTCTCAAAGACATTACATCCTCATGACAATGGAATTAACTTAATCACCTTCAAACTGTTGAACCCAGATTTTAAATAAAAGAAAATATTAATAGAAGATTAAAGAAATGTACAGTGTACCTATATACCAATGTGAATGTGATGATAAATGAACAGTGCAATTAAAATATTTTAAAAATGCACATTTTCAACTAAACACAGTTTTACATAACTAAGGTGAGCTCAGCCAGCAATGTTTCAATTTCCTTAGCACTGCACAACTTAATACTGCAATGCATTTTTGCCACCTTAGGGTGCTGCAAAAACACCTATGACATCTACATTTCTAAAACAATAAAAATTGGTTGTTTCTGAAACATATATTTAAGACTGTTCTTAAAACCATATAGTAATTTATACCTAAATAATTTCATATTTTCATAGATAATATTTTTAAAGTATATGGGCCTTTCAGCAATTTGCAGTCTTCAGAGAAATGACATTTATATCTTCTTGGGTCTATTCAGGGCCCCATCTTTTAAACCATATCACTAAAAATAAAAGTCTGCTTTGTACTTTATTTA